TCTTGCAGAGCGGCTCGCCAGTGGATCCCGCCGCTTGCCAGTCGATCCCGCCGAGCATCCCGCCCAGCCTCGCCAGTGGATGCCGCCGAGTATCCCGCATCTCACCAGAGCAGCCCGCCAGTGGATCCCGCCAAGTATCCCGCTGAGTGTCCCAGAGTAGCTCGCTAGTGGGCCCGCCGCTGAGTTTCCCTTGCCAGTGGATCCTGCCGACCAGAGCAGCTTGCCAGCCTGCTTTTGCTATGTCCCGCCCGGCGCGCAGCTGGGTTTACATTCATGTTGGTGCCTTCGTGTTTTGAGTGTGCCCGCGGAAAGGGTGATGCTTTTGAACTTCGTTTAATCCCCCGCCGGGTTTATTTTTGGAAGGGGCTTGGCTTTTGTTAACGGAACCGATGTTTGAGGTCTCGAGACCGGCTCGCAGACAAGTGGAGTTTGACACACACAGACAGGTGGATGAGGCTCTCAATGCAAAGCTTGTTGAGCAGTCATAGGCCCCAAGCCACTCGAAAACCATGCTTGAATTCACACAACCAGCGCGTGAAGCTGACCCCTCTTCTGTCCATTTTTGTCCTTCTTCCGGCCCACCCCCTTTAAATCTCTACGCCAAAAAATGCTTTTCTACGGCTTTTCTACAGTTTGTCTACGGTCACGTCCTCTTTGGACCTGTGTGAAAATTGAAAGGTAAAAGACAAGCCAAAAACTGCTTGTTGTTCGTGCCACCTGCGATAGTTGCAGAGGCAAACTCTATCATTTGCTAGAATGAAGGCTCTGTTTGCGCAAGGCATTCAGCAGGTGCATTGCGCAGACATAAAGAGGGAGGACCCTATCAAATAATAATACTTTATCAGCTAGCAGAAAAATGTGTAGCTCCCAAGGCTGCTTAAGAGATTGCACTCAGGCGTAGTTTTCGAAAAGCAAAATAACAACCCAACATGTCACCAAAAAAGGAGTTGCCAATGCAAAAAGAATAGGGGTTGAACAACCCCTATTTAAGAATAGTCGAGAAAGCATAGGGAACATGTGGCCTTGATCCACAAAATGCAGCGCGGATTCCGGATTCAGAAGCTTCCACCAGAAAAAAGGATTGAGAGGATTACGGATTGTCATTGGGCACCGGCATAGTCAACTGACCCAAGCATCCCAGAATATCCCAGATGCTCAGGTGTGAGGAGAGTAGCGTACCCGCTGAAGGCGCGTGATTGCCCGGGCCAGAACAGCGACTGCCAAGTCAAAAGTTGTTTGAGCCGCGGTAGTGCTGGCACAGCTGCGGTTGAACACTCCATTGCTTTTCACTTCATGGCGTGCACAGCTCAAGCGTCAAAGATTTGCGAGTGTTGCAGCTACACGCGGCCTATATACATATATTTTATATACATGGTGGTTCCGGGCGCAGCAAGAAGTGGTCTCCAAGACTCCTCAACGCGCTTGACGACTGTAACTTTCGCAATGCACCCAGTAGGATTTTACAGTTCGCAGCCTGTTAATTAACAAGAACCCCTGACCCCACAAAAGGTCAAACTGCATCAAACTGCCCATCCTCTGAAACACGGTTGCTCCTGACATGGGGACAGCAACTTACTTGACGTGTGGTTTATGTTCGCTGAAAGCTTTACACAAAGGCAACACAAGGGTGACAGTTGGGACCCGTCGACTGGTTGCGAAAGCTTCGGTCTGCCAAGCATATATGTGTGTGTGTGAGTGCCGGTGTGCGTGCGGGAGTGTTTGCGTTGGTGCTATCTTTGGGTTGGTTTGCAGGAGACCCAAAAGGACATCCTGATCCCATTTGGGTGAGGCTCAAAATTAAACAGGAGGGGTTACGCAGGTTTTGGTCCATGTTTCCACTTGTCAGGGTTCCATTTTGGTACCGGTTTTTTGAGCCACAGGCATTTTGGGTCGCAGTCCAAAGCCCTAGATTGACTCATATCCATATATCTCTTCAATTGAAGGCACTGTCAACATGCACATCAGTAACGAATGCCCCTTGGACTATTCATTGCATCAAATGTTCTAAGCCAGCAAGCCGGCGCGGTAAAGCTGCATGTGAGCCAAGCCTCTCCTTCCAAGTTCATGTTTTCTTGCTGGTGCGAGAGATGCAGGGAATGAACTGAGGATGGAATGACCTCAAGAAAAGCCCTCCAACTGGTGGTTTTCTTTGAGGGGACCAAAGCCTGGGTTCATTCGCACACTCGCGCAGGAGAGTGCGATGGACGCCATGGATTCGCTCAACACCGACCCGCGAGGAAGGCGCGAAGTGAAGCGGAAGCCTGCGAGGGCCCCACAGAGCAGTTGTGGACGGCGCTGCCAACGTTGCTGTCCCCTTTTGTTGAGACGTACATGGGTGGCTCGTCTTTGTTTGGAGTTGGTACCCAAATGTTTGGGTTGAAAGGGAAACCAGAAGGAAAAGTAAAATCCATTTTGGGCGGAGCGGTCTGGCCAGCGCTACTGGGAGCAGCGAGGTAGTGGTCAGAGAAATCGGAAATACAACGCTGTAAGTCAGCTGTCACGACGACCGCCTTTTGGAACCCTGCTGTTGGCATCAAATATCACCCAAGTTCCTCCCAATGGGCCACTTCGCGAGCTGCGACAGGTCCAGTCGGCATGTGGCCGGGACCTAAATAGCAAATTGGTCAGGGAATGCATTTTGGTGGGTTTTGGAATAACGCTTTTGGACCCCCCTAGAAAACCACGAAAAACTGATGAAGGGCTTCAAGACAATAACTGCAATGCAATCTTCGGTGCACATGTCCGTCAGTCGCTCGTTGGCTTGGCAGGGACATGGGCGACTTCTGCAAAAACTGCCCCATGTCCATTGCAGGAACCAAGGGGCTTACCGAATCCCCACTGTTTTTTTGCGGCTCGCTCGAGGCCCCGACCTTCGTGCACCAATAGTTGGCTGAGCTCGTAGTGTGTTTTTGAGAACTCAGCGCATGTCACCTTTAAATCTTCGCCCCGGGGCAAGCAGTGGGCACTTGACCACTGCGAGTCCGACGGGCACTTGACCACTTTTCATCTTTAGGCCTGTAGATTGATCAAAGATGGATCAAAGTCATAATAATGGTGAACTGGCTTGTGGCCAAAATGATCCCAAATGCAAATCCCAAGCAGGAAAAAACCTCCTGATGCCTGCCAGAAGCCGATCCTTCACCATCGCGGCCCTTGGCATTTCCAAAAGTACAGTGCGAAGATCCTGGACCATCGCTCACGGATGTACGTATATGTACATACACACAGATGTCCCTTCTTGGTGGTTTAAAAGCGTCAGCTTGGCACGCGCTGGAAGCTAGCTTTGCCTCGCTCACACTTCGAGGGTGCACCTGGGTTAGCAGTCAATCAGCTGGCCACTGGCTACTATCTACTGGCATTCACCCCAACGCAGGTGTGCCTTTTGCGGCTTGAGAGGGGGAAATGCCATCGGCTAATTTACGGCCGCGAAAACCAAATGTTTACGCATCAATCGTCAGTTCCTGCAAGGTCAGTCTGTTTGTGAGCGTTGATGCCTCCCAAAGACCCATAGATTTGAAATGATTTGCGGGAACTGGGGTTTGAGCTGTTGCCTGACATGCACGCCAATTCGACCTTCGGCGTTTGATTCTGGGCCAGATTGCTCGTCCAGAACTTTTGCGACTGAAGCCATGATGGCCCGGCCGATTTTTTCAACTTCAAGGCGCTTCTGCTGCTGTACCCGGGGCGCCTCGTTATTTTAGACACCTCAGGCGGGGGTGCGAACGTGTAGCGCATGACACGGGTTGACGATGCAAGCATACCGGGCCGCATGCATTATTGACATGCGTTATTGACATGTTTGGCATTTTTTGTTAATTGTGTTGTTAATGGACTGAACTGCAGGCATTACTGGCATTACATTGTTTTTGGTGTTTTAATTTTGGCCCCGTCAGGGACGACTATGTCCGGCCGCCTATCCCAAGGTGGCACCAGGATGCTGCGTTGCCTTCGTGTGAGGGTCAGACCCTGTTGATTGTTGGCCGAGCAAAATGAAGGCGCGCGCAGCCTGGAGATGTAGCAACTACTCTGCTCACATGGGCGTCGCAGAGCCCCCACATAGCTTGGCTTAAGCACACGTAGCTCAAGACGCTGACGCTTTGAAGTAGCTCAAGCTGAAAGTGCCTTGCATTGCCGCAAGTTACAAACAATGCAGATGTCGAGCATCACGGACCGGCCGTCGACCCAACTTGTATACCGAGATGTCCTCTGGGCGCTTTTCGCCGCGACCTTTGTGAGGCCTGGTTGAAATTAAAACCCCGGCCTTGTGCCCCAGGCCCGCCCCATAACTAGGTTTGCACGTTTGGAGGACTGCGCACCGAGGAAGGAGGCAAGAAAAACATCAAATTACTTCGCTTCGAGCAATCCCCACCCTCCACTCACGAGCTTACGACCATTACGACAAATTCCTCCACATCCTAGGGACTTCGACTCCAAATTCCAATCAACCCCTTCCCACTGATAATTTGCCGCGCAAGAATGGCAAAGCACTGCTTCAAGCCCATTTCAAGCTTATTGGCGAGCAACAACTACTTGCACGTGGCCGATCACGGCGGCAAGGCACCAGGGTTATGCATCTGCAGAAGCCACCGCCAGCCCCGCGCTCTGCAGAGCACACGCGCGGGCACCAACAGCAAAACCAAACTGGCGAGCTGCTCTGGCGGGATACTGGCGGGATCCACTGGCGAATACTGGCGAGCCGCTCTGGCTCGATATTGGCCGGATACTCGGCAGGATCCACCGACAAGGGATACTCAGCGGGATACTCGGCGGGATCCGCTGGCGAGCTGCTCTGGGATACTCAGCGGGATACTTGCCAGATTCCACTGGCGGGCTGCTGTGGTGGGATACTCGGCGGGATCCACTGGCTGGCGTGATACTTGATGGGATCCACTCACGAACTACTCCCATTGGCGGGCTGCTCTGGTGGGATACTCGGCGGGATCCACTGGCGAGCCGCTCTGGCGGGATACTTACTGGCGAGCCGCTCTGGCGGGATGCTGGGCGGGGGCCGGTCCGGCGGGATACTCGGCGGGATCCACTGGTGAGCCGCTCTGGCGGGATACTCGGCGGGATCCACTGGCGAGCTGCTCTGGGATACTCAGCGGGATCCACTGGCAAGCAGCTCTGGCGGGATACTGGCTGGGATCCACTGGCGAGCCTCTGGCGGGATACTCGGCGGGATCCACTGGCGAGCTGCTCTGGCGGGATACTGGGTGGGGGCGTGGTGTAGAAGCATCGCAAACGCGGATTCCAACATAAAATCTAACAACCCCTTCCTGTCGGGTGGGGAACAACCGACAGAGAGAGGCCATGAATGGACATACAAAGTTGCGAAGTCGGAAAACTTTCAGGGCCCCAAAAAAAACAAAGAAACGGTACCAACCGAGACCAGGGATGAGGTTACAAGCGTTTTCCACGGGGTTGCCATTGCGACCCCATGCAGCTGTGACCATGCGGCGCAACGCACACGTGCTCACACACACACACACCATCACTATGACTGGTGGCACAGCCGGGTTTGTCTCGAAATGAGGGAGTCCCCAAACTGACAAAACGGTTTCCTTTCAGATCCCTTCAACGCCAAATGGGGTAGACACCCCCAGCCTTGGCATAGGAAGCCTCTCAGAGCCAATATTGGACGCTTCCAGGCGCCAAAGTTTCAGCCATCCGAGGCCATGAGCGTGATCAGCACGGCTCCAAGTGTCGCATGGGAATCTCATGGGAATGGTCACCGGACGAAAAAAAAATCGCCAGACGTGCCGCATCGTGGCAGAGCGGTGGTTTGCCAGATCGAGATATGAGCCACGGACAAAACACACGAAGACCACTTTATCAAGGCGGGGTACGTTTTTGCATAACACATGCCAAAACCGTGGAAAACGATAAGGTCTCCCCCAAAAACGATAACCCTTAGCTAACACACGGCTCTATAATAACCCCCTGCAGTTGCAACTTAGCTAGGGTGGGACCCTTGCGTGGCCACCGTAAAACGAGAAGGCAAGTCGCCACTTTCGAGCTGGAGCTGCCACGGTGTGCTTCGTAAGTACGACACTTGTACAGAAGTTGCGATTTTCGAGCTGGAGCTGCAGAAGTGTACTTCGCGTACTAGACTTGTAGTACAAAGTTGCGATTTTCGAGCTGGAGCTGCGGAAGTGCACTTCTCGTACTAGACTTGTACTACATGGTTGCGAATCTCGAGCTGGAGCTGCGGAAGTGTACTTCTCGTACTAGACTTGTTCTACAAAGTTGCGATTTTTGAGCTGGAGCTGCGGAAGTGTACTTCGCGTCCTAGACTTGTACTACAAAGTTGCGATTTTCGAGCTGGAGCTGCGGAAGTGTACTTCGCGCACTAGACTTGTACTACAAAGTTGCGAGCTTCGAGCTGGAGCTGCGGAAGTGTACTTCGCGTCCTAGACTTGTGCTACAAAGTTTCGATTTTTGAGCTGGAGCTGCGGAAGTGTACTTCGCGTCCTAGACTTGTACTACAAAGTTGCGATTTTCGAGCTGGAGATGCGGAAGTGTATTTCTCGTACTAGACTCGTACTACAAAGTTGCGATTTTCGAGCTGGAGCTGCGGAAGTGTACTTCTCGTACTAGACTTGTACTACAAAGTTGCGATTTTCGAGCTGGAGCTGCGGAAGTGTACTTTGCGTACTAGACTTGTACTACAAAGTTGCGAGTTTCGAGCTGGAGATGCGGAAGTAAGTGTGCTTCGCATCTTCTCGTACTACACTTGCACTACATGGTTGCGATTTTCGAGCTGGAGATGCGGAAGTGTACTTCGCGTACTAGACTCGTACTACAAAGTTGCGATTTTCGAGCTGGAGCTGCGGAAGTAAGTGTACTTCGCATCCTAGACTTGTACTACAAAGTTGCGATTTTCGAGCTGGAGCTGCGGAAGTGTACTTCGGATTGCAAAGTTTTCGAGCTGGAGCTGCGGAAGTGTGCTTCGTACTACGAAGTTTTCGAGCTGGAGCTGCGGAAGTGTACTTCGCGTCCTAGACTTGTACTACAAAGTTGCGATTTTCGAGCTGGAGATGCGGAATTGTACTTCTCGTACTAGACTTGTACTACAAAGTTGCGATTTTCGAGCTGTAGATGCGGAAGTGTACTTCGCGTACTAGACTTGTACTACAAAGTTGCGATTTTCGAGCCGGATCTGCCAAAGTTCGAAAACACTGTAAAACGATAAGGTCTCCCCCAAAAACGATAACGTTGAAAAAAGTACTAGGGCCAAGTAAAGTGTTTTGTCCGCTCCTCATATGGATTTTTCGGTCGCTTGAAGGCATGAGCACAGGATGATGGGAAACATGGGAAACCCGAGTTCGGGGATGGGAAGGCCGCAGTGTCAAGTTCTGCAGGCCACATGCGTGCTAATGTCGTTCGGGAGCAAGATCTATTACCGTTGATTTCGAGACTGCACGTGACTGAACTTGTTTATTTCGAAGGGACGTTCCGGTGTTGTTTGATCTTTATGGTTTTGTGTTGGCGTTGGTTTGCTCTTCATCGTCGTGAGGTCATGGAGGTCGGACAAAGGACGCCCTCTTCTTGCAAGCAAAGCTTGGAGCTCCGCCTACTAATTTGCAGCCACGACCCGTGGCAGATTCATACAAGGACCCAACACTCTCAATAGGCCAAGGCTTAAAACGAGCAACTACGGTTCAGTTCTTCCGTAGCATTCCAGAAGCTGGTCTAGAATTTGCAAAGCTCACACTCAGAGCACGTGCTTCTCAAGAAGGTACCGTTGACATGCGCAACCCTTGTGTTTTTTTCCACGTTTCTTTGGGGGAATCCCCAGACGTGATTTCCGCCTTCCGTTTTTCAACGCCGAACCGGGTCCCTCAAAAAAGCGACACACCCATGGCATAGTCTGGCCTCTGGAGAGCCGATGAGGCCCGGAGCAGTCCCACTACAAGGCGCCGGAGCGAGTGATCTTGAGCCATGTTCCGGTGGCCCATAGGAAGACGTCTTCCATTTGGTTAAGAGTGGTTTATATATTTGTTTTCCCCTATTGGTTTTAAAGGGAATCTATCACTACTGGTGTTTTTTTAGTGTTTCCAGGGGACTGAAGCAAATGGAGGGGGGGAATACACACGCGGCTCACGAGTTTTCCCATGTCCTCTTGAAAGAGCCTTTGTCATCTTGATGGTCCATTTGTCCCAAAATTGGTACCCACAATGGCCGTTTTGCTTTTGGCTTCCCGGATCCCAATGCAATTCGGGCCCCATAGCACCAGGCTCCGATTCAGCTGCAGTCTATCATTTCCCTTCCCAAGATTGCGGCTGAGGAAGGAACAGGAACGAGAGTGAGGACTCTCTCCTTCACTCGTTTGCTCTCGTTCATCTCTATCTATTGTTTTCCTTCTGCCTTCTCTCTTCCCCAATGTCCAGAGAAGATGGAGACCTAGGTACGACTCTGATTAGATGGAAAGGTGCTCACGTATGAAGAGATTGCATGGCATCTCTCTCTCTCTCTCTATGTCTGGTCAAGATTATTCTTAAAGTAATGATTCGAGAGGCAATTAACGGTTGGAAGAGATATTTCTCTTTGTGTCTTTATCTCTGTATCATTTGGATGGATTTCGCGCCAATGCGGTCTGTCCCTTTGGCCACTATGAGATGATAAGATGGAAAGAGAGGCAGAAAGGAAAGTCATGCCCCGTCTCGCTTATGCACGGCAAGAGTTGATGTGTGTCTCATACACAGGCTTGTTTGTTCCTGGATAGAAATGACTTTACCTATGACAGGACTTCGTTTTTGCGCAAGCTTCAGGGTATGAAAGTCATGCCTTTGCTTTAGGCTTCCCACGCCTGGCTTGACAACCTCACTCCAAGTTGCGGATTCCACCTTCCAGTTTTGTTTGGGTTCACTAGGTTGGAAACCCAAAAAAGGTTGTCCTTCTTACCTTGACATGGGACCATCCAATTGGCCCAAGCCCTACCAAACTGACTCTGGCCCCCTCCCTCCCCCCCTCGCCGCACAAACAACTTCCTGCTTCTGAGCGTGCCGGGTACCTTGGGAGTTGAAACCCTTAGACCACACTCTTCCAGGGGTTGAGTCCTGGTCCATTCTTTTCAGCCATCGTTCTTTTCCAAAACCAGATTCGTTTCCCAAGAGTTTTGATGGTTTTCCAGATTCGGATCCCTCAGAGCCAGCCGCCATCACTTTTTTTCGCGTCGCTTCCTGGCCAGGAGCTGCTGGAATGCCTGCAGGGCTGTTGGCAGAACGCCGGGGGATCCAGCTAAGAGCTGCTGAGTTTGGTTGCCCTCGGTTGGGGCGAGTGGAAATCAGAGGAACAATGAGGAACACATCAGCCCCCCAGTGTTCGGAGTTCCACACGTCTGGGTCATTTCAAAGAAAGAGATGGTTCTTTTGGGTCGCTTCGGTTTTTCGGGGCCGGCTTCAGTGTTCTATTCATTCACCAGCCAATGTTTCCCAACACGACACCTAGGGTCCGTGGAAATATCCAGGGCTCGACCGAGGCATTTGTGTGAGCAAACCGACCCCTGGATTTCTCCGAACAGAGAACCCAAGTAGCGTCACTGTCGAGCTGAATCAGCTCACATGTCCACCCCGATAGGGAATGGGGGGGTGCCTTTGACCTGCATCCCACACTTTTTGTTTGGGTGTTCTTTTTTTTCCTGGGCCATTGGCTGACATGTTCGCCTTTTCTGCACCCCATGTTATTGGTTTTTTGGTCGGGCCAAAAATCAGCTCACATGTCCACCACCACGAATGGAAAAGCTGCAAATGTTCGCATTTTCTTGGTGCCCCATGTTCTGTTTTTGTTTTGGTCGGGTTCTCTCGCGTGTTTTCCTCTGGGCCATCTGCCATGGGCTGCGTCTCGAGGTGAAGGAGCTCCACGAGTTCTACCTGGTCCAAGATGCCTCCGTGACTCGGATCAGGCGAAGAGCAGAAAGACGAGAGCTGACTCGGATCGATCCGCTGACCGGTGCTCCAGGTGGTCAAAAGGAAAACCGGAAGAAACCCAGAGGCTCCCTTGGTACCTTCGAACAAAAATACTTAGACCCCCTATTTTTACCCCCCAAAAGCCAACCTCATGAGGTACTTGGACCCTCTGGGAAATTGGGAGGGCCCCCGATTTTGACACATCTCATTTTTTCTGGGTAACCAAAAACTTGCCACCCTTGAAATTTGCAAAGGCCAGAAGGGAAATGACTGGTTACCCACTATAGGCGCTTGCGTGGGATCCTCTGACACGTGGCAGACGATCTCAAAGGTCCAAAACGCCAGGCAGAACACTGGTGAGACCATGGAGCCGGGCGCCCAGTATCCAAAGCACATTTTTGTGCGCTTTCTTCCGCGGATTTAGCACGTCCAACCACAACTTGACATCACCGTGAATTGCGTTTTGTTCACCAGGGGTAGGGCGTTGACAGTGCCTCCAGGCACAGAGGCACACTTTTTACTTGCTTTAGTCGTTCGCAGAATCCTGCCTTATGGCCTTGCCGCTCACAGTGCTGACTATGTCGCCTCTTTTGCTTTCATGCTTCGCCACTCCTCCGTTTTGTGGTGCTTGGCGTAGTCTGCACCAATGCTCAGCTCTGTCCACTTGCTCTTGTGCTTGACAGACGTTTTGCTCATCTTGCGTCGTCGACCGTGGGTTCGCGCCACGCTGAGGACATGCTAGTGCGCTGCCTGCCTTGGTAGTCGTTAGCATATTGAGCGTGTGTTGCTTGGGTTTGTTTGGAGTGGAAGGCGAAAGTGTTTTTCCATGGTAGCATTGGAGGTGGCTCCAAAACTCCCATCTAGATGCAGATGCTAGACATGGGCAGACAAACGTGCCGCAAGTTAAAGTAAGTGAAGCTCCCCTGCGGGGATGTAACAATTTGCCACCGTGAAAGCCAACAGAAGCCTGCCTCAGTCATGTGGCGACTTGAATTCAGAGGCTCACAGTACTTTGCCAGCCGAGCTTTTTTGATCCGTCGTTGCTCTTGGGCAGGTTGAAACCGGGAGAGGGCAAGGAGAACTTGGGATGTTGCAACTTGCGATGCCAAGGGAAGCCCCTGAAAGTGCAGTTGTGGAGATGAAAAAAACCTACACAAGGCGTCACAGAAAGTCGGATTGTTCACCCGGCGGGCCCCAGTTTTTCCATAAGGTACTGAACATATATAATATTTGTTATGTATATATAGATAATATGTATATATATATAGACACGGTATGTATTCCCAATTTATGTACATTAAATGCTAGGGCTGCATTTCCATGACACCATGCACTTGTTTGCTTGGCGAAAGACCGATGTTCGGTTTCAGGTTCTCCCGGGTGCTGAAGCCGGATTCCAGCGGCAGCGGCCTGCAGCCACCCAGCTGGGTTAGCGGAAGCTGACTTTTTGGAACTTTCCTTTCGGGGAAGCCTGCCTTCACGGCTGTTGGACTAAAAAACGACTTTTATGCGCTTTTTGGTTCTGTTCATTTTTAGTTTTTAGTAGGCTGCAAGACATGAGGTGATTTGCCACTCTTCCACTTCCAAGGGTTGTAAAGCTCCCCCCCCACTTCCATTGGAAAGAGAAATCATTTGCTTTCCTCTCGCGTACATGTTGGACGAACTTGAGGTGTGCCTTGCTTCCGGCGCATGGCTTTGGACTGACGGTGTTGGTCCGAATTGCATTGGGATTGACCCTGCGGCCCGGCGAAAAACGGTTGCTTTGTGTAGGCCATATTGGCAGCCAGACGGGGCCGAAGAATCGCTCATTGAATCATTGAAGGTGAAGAAAGGATCAGGTTCTGGCCTTCCATTCGGTGATTGGCCACCTCAAGCCAATCGCCGAGCCGGTCCAAAACCCCTTGGTTCGGTGTGGACATGAGTGGGACATGGCCCAAGGTCCACACAAGAACTTGAGAGAAATCACCGGCTTGCGCCCGGTTCTGGAACTTAGGTGGGGCCTTCATGGTCGGTTCGTCCTCCAGGCGATCGCGCGCCGTTGCGAGTCGCTCTCTTGCGCTTTGGATTTAGATCCACCCGATGTGGGGTCCGGATCTCATGCCATTGGGCAAGAGGTCAGACAGACATCTCTTGTGCCCTGATTCCTTTTCAGAAAAGGCACTCTGCTTGAACATGTTCCGGCGTTGGGGGGGGGAGTGCAAATGCAAGACCTGCAGATTGATACATCGACTTTGACTGCTGACTCTGACTTGTGCACCGCTCAGAGGATTCAGCCATGTAGCTAAAATTTTGGGCAGTCGGACTAGCTGACTTCGGTGTGTTGTGCATTCGAGGGAGCGAGGGTCCAAGAAGCCAGCTACAGGAAAATCTGCATGCAGTGGGTATTCGGCAATTTCCAAAAGAATTTCCTGTAGACGGTCAACATCCACCACTGCTCGTTCAAAGCGGGTCGTGAAATCAATGGTGGTTGCTGAGGACTCAAGTCAGTTGGCTGACTCCCGAGGAGGCGCGCGTGCCGACATGCCGACTAGTCCTGCTGCTTTGAAAGTCATGGGAAGTCTGAAGCAGTGGTCTGAGACAAATGTTGCTTTCAACATGGCATGGCTGGCAGGAAGCTAACACTTGCGTCATGCTTGTTGCAGGAAAGGTGTTGCTGGATTCGTACAGAAATCCGTGGCATCGCTCGCCAAGAAACTGGTTTGGCTGGACGGTGCTTTCAGGCGTTTGCTTTTCTGCCAACGATTTTGATTTGGACATTCGGATGCAACGCTTTTATCAAAGGCCGGGTTGGCTAGAGGGCCTGCTTCCCAAAACAAGGGGCATGTCTTCCAAAGGCTTGTTGGTTCCTGCGAATGATCAGAAACACCCATTTGAGGAATCTCTCCTCTTGGGGGACAACCCCAGAAACAATCCCCCCTTTATTCAAAGAAAGAAAAAGAAAGAGACAACAACATCTTTTTGGGCTCCATCTTTGTTGGGGCACTCAGTCCACCCGGCTGGCAGGCACACGTCCAGGCCCTTTCCGGGCCCCGGGAGCCTGGCACGCAAGGGGCGCCAGCACCCAGCGGTCGACCGGGCGCACCGCGGGCGCACCGCGGGTGAAAGGCATGGCAGTGCACAAGGCGAGGCTCCAGTAGAAACATAGCTACATGCTGAGACCAGATTTGTCAGGGATGGTTGTTGCAAATGAAGAAGTGATGCTTTATTCCAAATGGGCTCTTTAAAGGGGGGCCGAGCTGAGGTCGATTGATACTGCACTGCAGAGAGTTAAGAATGATGTGGCAAGCACATAGGAATACATGCTCCGGACCCACACTTGACAGCCATGCAATATTCTTAAGATGCAGCGCGAGATCTTCGCCATGTTCTCAAAGGGCATGCCCAAGAATGAGAACACGGGATCAACCACCATATTCAGGCCCTACATGTAGGGCTTCAGGGACGCACCCCTCCAACTTGCAGGTTGCTCATTGGTCAACATTCAAGCCTCTGCCCCCACCCTACTTGCGAGGCTTGTATCCTCTTTGTAAGGTTACCCTCAACATGACACCCATGTTGGTCTGATTGGCAATGGCTCCAACAGAATGTCCTACCAGGCCTTAAACATGGAGCCCACACTCAAGTTTCACTTTTGGGACTTGTTGCCCCCATGGTAACATGCTGAGAGGACCAACTCCATTCGTGAATCTGCTGGGACCACTTGTCATCATAAGTCCAAGTAGCGCCTCTAGCTGGAGATGTCGATCCATTCTCAAGGTGAAAGGCTGGCGGTGGCAGCGCGTCGACCCTTTGCTGGCCGGTGTGGCCTGCCCCTAAGGCTTTCTTGTGGGAAGGAGTGATGCAGCAGGCTCTCCGAAGCCTTCAGATCAGAATCTGCTTTGTGTCCAGCGACATTTGGTTTGAGAAGTTAGACATGGTTGTTGTTGGGAAGCATTTTACATTTTTGCTTATTGTGGTTTAGTGGTTGAAATCCACACTTAACTGCTAAAATTTATTTTTTTGCTCCCCTTCCAACGTCAACCAAGTAGATTTCGCTAGACTTTGTATAGGTCCAGCACGCTGGAGTCCCCGGGTTTTGCTTTTCTGAGCTCCAAGACGGCTGGCCCCGCTTCGCTCGTCAGAAAACTTTGCATAGCCGAGAGGCACCGTGGGCCATGGTTAGAAGCAGCTATTGGCGACCTTCGCTGAAGTGGCCCCAGCGACCCCACCTTGCGTCTACAGATGGGCAGTTTGGTTGGTGAACGTTGGGTTTACTGAGCAAGTTAGATGCTTGAAGGAAGCAGGTTAGTGTAGCAAGGCAAGGGTGTTTGTCAGTCAAGTTTCAAGTTAACCTGTTTATTAGTGCACGACCACAAAAGCTTGGCCAAGATTGTTCAAAGAGCCAAGTCAGCAGTCGCTGTTTGGGTAGGCAGTCAGTCAGCTAAGTACTTATCTGAAATGCTGGTTTGGTTGGTTGGCTGGCTGGCTGGCTGGTTGGCTGGTTGCTTGATTGGTTGCTTGCTTGCTTGATTGATTTGATTTGATTGACTGATTGATTGATTGATTGATTGATTGATTGATTGATTGATTGATTGGTTTCTTGGTTTCTTGGTTTCTTGTTTTTTTTTCTTGGTTTCTGAGTTGCACAATTAGTTAAGTGGTTAAGTGCTCGGATGTTTATTGGTTAGTTGCCGAATGGGCTCTTTTTGAATTGACGACTTGGCCAATTAGCTAATCGGGTAGTTGGTCAATTGGTTAGTTGGGTACTTGGTGCATCGGTTGCTTGGTGGCGTGGTTGCTTGGTTAGTTGGTTGGCTGGGTTGGGTTGGTTGGCTGGGTTGGGCGGGTTGAGTTGGGTTAGTTGGTTTGGGTTATTTGGTTGGTTGGCTGGCTGGTTGGTTGCTTGATTAGCCGGTCAGGCAGTTGTCACGAGCATTCTGAGGGTTGCGTGGGCAAAGGGAAAAGCGCAAAGCACCGTGTTGTTGAAGATTAGCGGCTGAAATTATGTGCAGGTTTACATTCTCAGACCAGTAGCCCACAACTGGCCTCCGCACACAAAGTTCTCGGAAGGCTTACCATACTCACTTTTCCACCTTGCGCTGCCTGCTACCTGATTCGCACCTGCAGAAAGACGCAGAGGATTTACCACCTTTACTTTGGCAAAGTCAGAGTCTTGTGTGCTACCTTCGCCAGTTTTTGCTTGGCAAACTGCCGGATTCCGCACCTGCAGAACGTGCGGCACATTGAGTTTCGCGATCACTCAACGTTGCCGTGCCATCGCACGTTCCATTCAAGCTCGTCGAGGCGATCGCCGTATCTTGCCCTTTCCGTTTCTTGGCGTTCGCTATGTTTTTTGGTCGGTCGGCTTGTTGTGCAACTGAGCTTCGTTTCAAGGCGGTTGCTGCTGTAGGTGTCTGGGGAGTGGGCACCATCGACTGCTTTCTTTGGGCGCTGCAGAAGCACTCGCATTTGCACCACTTCTTTGCGTGTCAGAAGAACGGCGTCCATTGGGGGTCCAGGATGGCAACCCTCCATAGCCAATCCGGAGCCACTCCTGTGCCGACTTAGGCGCCAGGCGTTCCTGTGGAAACTGCGGCGCCGTCGGCACCGGCACCAGCGCCGGCCCCGGAGTACCCGGCCGTGGCGCCCTGCACGAGTTGTGGAATTGAGGAGGCCCTAAATATGTGCGTGGGTGTGTTTGTGTGTGGGTTTGTTGTTTGTTTCTTTGTTTGTTTGCTTGTTTGTCGGTTGGTTGGTTAGTTGGTTGGTTGGTTGATTGTGTGTTGTTGGTGTTGGTGTTTGCGCGTTTGTTTTGAGGGTACTGCGTGCTTGTGTGTTTGTATGTGTGTTTGTTTTTTTGCTTGCTTAGTGTCTTTGCGTGCTTGTTTGCTAACGTTTCTGAGAGTACCCTTGTCAGGTGGTTTAAATGGAAACTACAAGGAAAACCAAAGTCCATTTGTTTGGCGGCCCTTTTTTTGGTTGTAGCCCTTTGTTTTCCCGCCCCGCAAAGGGCGAAGCTAAGAGAATGGGCGAACCAGATGTTTGCAAGGGAGGTGAGTACGGTCATGTTGTGTGATAAGAAATCCCTTTGTACTGTCGAGAGTCTTGGACATTTCTCAACTTGCCGTAGAGTTAAAAAATCCCAGGTTTTGTCGAGACCCTGGGAGGTGAAATGTAAGGGGGTTTTAACTTTGCTGTGTAGATTTGAGGGAATCGAACATGTCCAAGGGTGGAGACTTTGTGTTGCCCTTTCGACTACTCACTTGGCCAACGAAGAGGCCTGAAACCAGCCTGAAACCAGTCTGAAAGCAGTCTGAAAGCAGTTAATTCTGGGACGCGTCTCCAGCAGCTAAGACCATGCAGGTTAGTAGCCTATGCGCAAGGAAGAACACAAGTCGCGCCCAAATCGCACCCGTCACCTCAAAATGTGCCATTCGAATGGCACTCTTTTTGCCTCAAGATGTGGCACAGAAGATGGCACAATGAAGCCCACCACCTGATTTCCCCCCCATGGTTAGGCTCAGACTGGGTTCAGACATGTTCAGACTGGGTTCAGACCTGTTTCCTGGCCTCTACACTTTTGTGAACGAGCTGAGTATCTTGATGTGCTTTATGAAGCTTTAGGTATAAACTGGATGGTTGAACAGAAATAGGGTTGTTTCGGGGACATCACTGAATCTTATTCTTTCGGACACGAAGGGCAGGAAGGTACAGACAACTGAATTTTTGGCTTGGAATTCAACGGGGTAGGTAAAAGGGGGCTGGCTAGTGGAGGGCCCTCGGGTTTCTTAGGGCTGTTTTAGGGTTGTTTCCCCCCCCCTTTAGACCACGCCTTAGGGATTCCCTTGGCATCTCAGGCACCAGTGCCGCCAGCTTCGCCGATGGATTCGCTAGGGGCCAATGCTCCCTGGGAGTCTTCGAACTTGTGCTATGGAAGCAGGGCTCCTTAAAATATGCAATTTGAAGCATGGCTTTTTAAACCAAAGCAAAGGGAAACCACCCTTTACAAGGCAATGTTCAGGTATATAATGTAAGGATCCCTGTGTTGGTGGTTCTGTGAGCCAGCCTCAGCCGCGTGGGCGTGCGAGTTGAACAGTTGTCGGTTTTGCCGTTGTGCTTCCAGGGGTGGTTGGTATGCCAAGCCTTTCGATGCAGGGCATTGAGTACCTTGAGTGGAAAGTCGTTTGGCAAAACTTGTTGCAAGCACACATGAGGCAGAGGAGGAGGAAGAGTAGGGGGAGGAGGAGGAAGAGGAGGAAGAGGAGGGGGAGGAGGAGCAGGAGGAGGAGGAGGAGCAGGAGCCCATAATTTGCACGACATCCTGATTTCAGGCTGGCACACACTTCCATCCCCGTGCGTGACTGAGGCCAACAGATCCAAAGCAAGCCGGGTGCTGAATTGGATGCTGCTCGAAGTGCGTTATGCGTCTGACACGCGCCTTGAACTTTTTGATTTCAACACTTATCTTGGTTTGCCCTGCTATGTGGCAGGACGATTGCACAGCCGGCAATCAAGGAAAAACCTCCCTGATATGTGCGGCCCTTTTCATTGATGTTTTGAATTTTGACAAACAAGCTGGCGGCTTCAACTTTTAACCCGTCGTTCTTTTGGACGTTGCCAGGTAACTCTTTGGCCGTTGCGTTTCTGAAAAGAAGAACCCCCCTAAAGGAGAGCAGGTGCAGCTTGCAACTGCTCGCATGTTGCAGAACATGTTTCCCCCACCCCACGGGGAAACTCATCAAAAAGTGTTGTTGTTGAAACGAACCGAAAGGGAAATATAGGGAGCCCGGCGTTTTTCTTCATTTTGGTCCATCGGCTCAGGCTGCCCTGGCTCAGCTGCAGGGCTCCTGGAAGAACTGCTTGGCAGCGCTCGCTGGTGGTTTGGGTTGGAATCCGGGATGGCTGACCTAAATATTGCAAGTGGAGCAACAAAGACTTGCACTACTGGAAAGGAAGCGATGTGGCTGGGTCGCTTGCAAATTTAGGGAGAGATCAGATTCCTTTTTCAAAAGGAATCCGGCGCGCTTTTGAGGGAATGCACAGAGAGACTGACATTGCTGGGCTCTTATATGGGTCAACGTATTGCAGTGGCACCTGGCCGAAAGGGCCCCCCTTGTCTTGAAGCTTGGCTTGTTTGTGGTCCACATGACATGGTGGATGCCACTGACTTGCTAGTTTCAACCAGGGAAGAAATGGTTTTCGAACAAGACCCAACAGCCCATGCCAGGATGACAATGAATGCTACGTGGTCCGTGGACTGGACGTGATGCGGTACAAGGCACTTGTGTGTGCCAGCTATGCGGAAAAACCATTCCTGTGACAGGTTGGATTTGAAGCCAAGCTCGCACCTCAGTATTCTTGTAGAATTATGTTCATCAACCTTTAGCTGTTTGCGAAGTGCATGCAGTGCCCACCAACAAGCAAAGAGCGCGTAGAGGGGGATTGCCACAGAGAAAACAGCTGGCTTTTGGGATTCTGAAGCCCAACCTGGCCAATCAGGATGACCCGCCAATGATGAGACTATTTGAAACGCATGAAAGTTCTCGATGTGGGAAGCCAGTGCTGCTGCGAGGCCCTTCCGTCTTCACTGGGACGATGCCACCGGGCGTTTGTGGCGTGAGCCCAAGCAACTAGCAACCCAGACCCTGCAACAACGTCGTCGCATTCAAAGAAACCTGGCAACGTTTTCGCGACGATCCCTGTCGCTCAGAAAAGGGCAGGCCCTTTTTTCAGGGTGACTACCCTTGTTGTGGTTGGGGTGGTGAGTTCCAAGGGAAATTAAACGTAAGCCGACCTTTTGGCGGGAGGGCGTGGCCGGGGGCGGCCCGTTTTGAGACACGGCCAAGTCTTTTGAAGATTCCCAGCATTATTTTTGTTGGAGCAGCTCAGGTGGGGCTCAACTGGCAGATACAGTCTCCAACCGCCCTAGCCTGAGACAGTCGAGCGATGCCAGTTGCCTCTGTGTCGGATGTCAGGCCGGCGGATACGCAGAAAGCCGCCTGCGTCTGAGAGTTTGGGGAGTGTGCGGCTCTTTGTGGGACGTTCGGTTCTTTTCCTTTGGTTTCTTCGGCGAGCAGTTTGTTTCGCGAACCCCCATCATCATGGCCAGAAAGCCCAAGCCGACGGGGGCCACCTTCATTCGAGGTGTGGGAGTCGAAGAATGGCAGCCGTGGGCTGGGGCCCCGGAAGGTCGAGGGAGTCACTAGATGCTGACATACTTCCTGGGATTGCCGGGACGCCGGGGGGGGGGGGGGGCGCCGGCGGGAATAGGCATATTGGGCAGGGTGTGTAAAGGTTGGGGCATATATATATATATACATATATATATATATATATATGTATATATATATATGTACCATCAGCGCAGTTTTGGGCTGCGGGGAAAGGACTGCGCCGTTATGCGAACCAGACCTTTTCGTGTGCTGAAGGCCTTGTGTCACTGGCACCCCTCGAAATATCTATGCCTCAAACGGCTCCAAAGGTCCCCACTGCATGCAAGGTTCACTTGGGAGAGGACCGAGGGCCCCGGCCCCAGCTGCCCGGCACGGCATGCGAATGGATTCGTATCGCCTTAGGCCCCGGCGGGCAAAAGGCGCGGAGAGGGCCGCCCTTCCGGAGAATTTGTTTTGAAAGGTATGGCTCTGTGCGACAGGCCGGCTGGAGTTCCGATGATGCGTAGCTTTCCCAGGGAGGGACATTGCCGAACGCCACGGCTTGCGTGCAAGGGTCTTCTGCAAAATTAGAAGCATGCAAGCCTAAAACCTGCAAGGGATTGCAATGTACAGGGCGTACGTCAAATATAACAGATTGGCTTGTTTCTTCCCGGTGAGCTCCACATGGGCAGATATGTCGGCTGCACCCTTTGTTTACATCTCGACATTCTGCATAATCACATGTTTCGTAGCACAAATCAACAACCCTGTGCCGCACACGAGAGCCCAAGGCATGCAACTCTTGCTTAACACTTGCTGGACACAAACTCAGAAACCAGAAAGGGCGTTTGCTGAGTACCACTGGCGACAACAAGCAGGATTTGTGCTCGCTGGCCTCACCACAGAATGTGATGTTGGTCCGAACTTCCAGCCGATCAATGACAAACTCAGGCGGACAACTCATTCTTCCGCCAGGGCCCGCAGCCTCCCAGCACCCCGCCTCCTCCGGCGCTCTACCAGGCCAGTAGAAGCTGCCGACAAAAAGCGGGGGGGGGGGGGGCGCCAAAACCCTCTCAGACAAATCGTGATACTGGGGTCGCTGTCCTTTATGCCGGTGGGATTTGCAATGGTAAGCCTCTGCTTGAAAAACATGGGTAAGTGAGAAACGGGATTGCAAGATCGGTTTGGCACATCGGTTTGGAGGGAAGTTGGACATTCAGCTGGTTCCTTGATCTTGGGGGGTTGGCAGAAGGGACCGCCAGGCAGCGCAGATGCAGATGCGACAACAGCAAGTGCAGATGCGGCAGCAGCAACAGCAGCAACAAATGCTGCAGCAGCAATATTTGCAGCAACAACAGCACATGCAAATGCAGCAGCAAATGATGCGGCAGCGGCAAATGCAGCAATACTGGCAGCAGAGCAGCTACCAGGCCGTGCAGGGCCACTACTGGCCACACCAGCAGCAGTGGCATAATCTTCCAGTGTCGGCCACGCGCTACTCGCAGCAGGCTGAGGATTGACTCGGTCAGTGCGAGTGAAGCGCAGCCTAAGCCGGAAGCCTCGATTCGATTGCCTTTGCCAATCCGAGGCCTTACTGACGCGAGAGTTTCAAAACGGGCGAGTGCTTCGATTCCATGCAAGTGCTTGGCACCTTAGGCAGTCAGGCACCTTAGGCATGCGTCGGGAAATTTGTCAATGCGTCCAGCCTTGGGTTGCTTGCAAGTTTGCCTCCTTGTTTGCCGTGGTCGGTGTGACTGTCCAACGAAGCAGTCCTGCCGTGCAAGTTGTCGACTGTCAGTTGCTCGTTGGGTGCATTTGATCCGCATGCAACGGCGGACGAAAGCACAGTTGTGCATCAGCCTTCTGGCTTCGCTGCATTTGCAGACGCATGAAGCATTCGGAGCACAGAAAGCAACTTGTTGGTTGCGCTAAGGCCTAGAAATGTGGCAATTTTCGGCCGCGCTGTTGATTCCAATGGCCGGGCAGCTGTTGGCACGACAAAATCATTCACATCTTGGCATGAGGTAGCCACATGGCGGGGCGGTGGCGGAAAGCGCCAGAAGCCGCAGGACCATGTTGCGCACACGTTCGATTTGAAAGGCTTCCGCCGGCCCAGTTGATCCTTGGGGGAGGGAACTTTGGAGAGACGGTCAAGCGCCAAGCCCGTGGCAAGCTGCCGTTGCAGGCCCGCATGAAGCAGGCCATGAAGCAGAGAAGGAGAAGGAGGAAGTTGTGACACGAGGCAGGGACACCTCGGTGCCACTTCTCCGCATCTTCTCCGAATTGGCATCTACGGAATATGTTTTAACCCAGTGTCGGTTTGTAATTATTCGGGGGGCTGGGGGGGGGGAAGGGAGCCTGAGACAATCACGATTTCTTCAGATCAGCAACCAGCTTGAGCAAACACGCGAAGCTGAAGCCAGCTTTTCCCTGGACTCGTGCAGCGGGGCACCCGCCGTCGCAATGCCTCCAGCGTTAAGTTTTCTTTGCACTGGTGGCCCAGCTGATGTGGTGGAGAGTGCGGCCTTTCGAGACCCAGAGGTCCCCCAAACCAGTCCAAGGCATCTAACCTTGAGGCGTTCGCTTGCTGGCAGGACACGCGCAAAGAGACAGGGATCTAGCAAGGGGGAAATGCCTATCAGCGAACAGTGCCCCCAAGCGGCGACTCCCAATCAGCGACGGCCAATCAGCAACTCGAAATCAGTGGCAGCGGTCTTTTTTGAGCTTGGGGCCAAACATGTTCCTGATTTCTGTTACGCGGAATTGCAGGTCGCAGTCGCGAGACCACTACCTCGCTTGGACACAACGTGTTGGTCCCGCGGCGTGCCTTTTCCCAGCTTATGGTCCCACACCCAATGCTGTCAAATGCTTCTTGTTCAGTGACCTTCAGCCACAGCCGCTGTTGGTTGCATCCCCATGAAGGGAGGGCCGTAGGAGACTTTGGTCCGAATTCTAATGGTATCCCAGGGAAACTGGCACTGGCTTGACAAGTTGCAAGATGCCAAGGCCTCTAAGGGCGCGAGGCCCTCATTTCGCATCGAAGTCAGGCGAAAGCCGATGGAAGCGTGCTGAGAAGACGGAGCCAATCAGCGCGGCCCCAGTCAGCGCATGCGCAGCCACGAGTGCTGGAAGGACAGCAGATCGCAGGTTCACGATTCACCTTTTTGCAGGGGTCTCAATCAGCCAAGACTACGCAAAGTGGCACTTGTGGCCTGCTTCATGGCCTCCAGCAGTTTCCCTGACAAAGAAACCTGGGCATTCACATTGGTGAAGGTTGCTGATCAGGTTGAAGCCGGAGCCACCACCTAAACCTGGAAGCAACCAGAAGCCCGGGGGTTCCAGCTCTTTCGCAATGCAGTCTCTCACTTCTGACTGAGTTTTCTGGGCTATGCTTTGTTGTTGTGCTTGGGTTCAAGCGAGTTTCCTTGGCTGATGGTTGCAGGCAACATATGGAAAAACATATGGAAGGTGGCATGGCAAGGTGCAATGAGAGCTTCCTTTTGGGCTTGCGGTCGGAAGTTTGCAGGAGTTAGGGACCTAAACCCAAAGAAAGAACCGGCACCGGCAAAAGGAGGCTTCGTGACGGCAGTCAGTCGCGAGGAGCGTGGGCATGGGCGCCTGCCTCACCCTGCGCTCTGGGCTATTGATGCCTCAGCTTGGCTTGGGCACTCGCCTGCTGAAGGGCCCGGAGCTGCGGGAGGCGTTCGGTGGGGGTTCGACTGCGAGCGCGAGCGAACCGGGGCACCGGGATGAGGTATATAGTCGTCTGAAACTGCCGGTTTTTTTCCCCTTAGGCTTTGTTTCCTGGCTGGTTGATTGGTTGGTTGGTTGGTTGGTTGGTTGGTTGTTTGGCTGGCCGCATCTTCACATATTTTTTAGGCTGGCATAGGTCTTAATGAGGGCGGGACTTGGGTTGGTTTGAGGTTGATTTAGGCTGGGCTGATATCGCTCTTGGGGTGCCGCATCTTCCCCAAGAGCACTTCTGGTCAAAAAAGCTCCACCCGTCGGACAAATAGATGCAAGAGGAAGCCCAGAAAGTGGAGGGCTGCGTGCTGGGCTCACAAAGGAATCTACGGAAAGCCACGCGATTTGGAGGTTTGGCTGGATGGCTTAAGCTGTCCACTTTGGAGTTCCACTCTTAGAGCCCGGAAAGGAGAAAACCGGCGTCTTTGGAACACCCTCCATGGCTTGTGAGCAATGGGTCCATGTTAAAGATGTTTGCCGGACATCGACAGATGACACATGTTTCCGGAAAAGCAAAGGTGCCCAGTAACTTTTGTGTGTCTTTTTCGAGGGTTCCAATTGGGGGTGGCTGTAAGGAAGGGCAAAAGGAAAACCTGATTTGCGGGGCCCCCTGGAAACGACACACCCACATGGTTGTGAAGAATCGCCGTGCTTTCAAGCGTCAACCCGACAGCCCCGTTGAGGGTCGCTGCCAAAGGCACCGTGACCATGAGCGACTGTCAGAGCTGTTCCGTGGCTCACTTAGCCAAAGCGGCGGCAGCTTTGGCCAGTCTCTCATCAGATTTCCGAGGCATGCGAGTCGAGTGGTCCTTTTGGGATGTTTGAAGGGGCAACTCGAGGAAGTCAGGCTGGTTGCTCTGCCTCCTCGTTCAAGTGCCAAAGGAATCCTTCTACGAGTCATACCGGGGATATCCGTTTTTAGGGGACCCACCCCAATGGGTGGTGTTCCTTGTGGTTTCCCTTCAAAGCCAACGTAAAAGGGATAGACGGGTTACTTCCTGGAGCCCGTGCAGCGATCCCCCACAAGTGCCACACTTCTCGCCCTAGATCAAGCTCCAAGGGGCAGCACCTTCATGGGAAAAGTAGGACACATGCTGCATGCTTTGACTCGTTGGATGCTCATGTGGGTATGGGTCAAATTCAAACCAGCAGACCGCAGGTTTTTAGTGGTTCCATTTACCAGGGTTCCATTTGGCACATATTCTTGACCCACTGCCATGCTGAACTTTCATACATTCGCATCTAGCCCAAACGCTGCTAGCGTCTGTGAAGCGACAACCTATGAGCTTTGAGTCACTTTGAGGCATGTTTGCTTCCAGGATTGCCCTCCCTAGCGGTCTTGCGCTTTTCGCAGGCGGTAAAAGCTGCCCTGCGCAGTGGGTACCGCCTCATCGACACAGCCCCCGGCTTTGGCAACGAGGAGGACGCTGAGGTTCTAGCCTCATGAAGACCCCCAGCCCCCAAGCCCAAGCCTGCCGAACCCAACCGGGTCAACGCCTTTGTAACCTGGTTGGCCTAGGGAAAGAAAGCAAGCCGCTGATTTTTACTTTTTTTCCGCTTGGAGCGCGCTCGCATGGCGAAGAACTCTGTCCTGCCAGTTTCGGCTCGTAGGTGATTAGGTTGCCAGGATGCCGGGAGCCAGTCAACTTGAGGCGCTCCGGCTGGCAATTGGACTGCGCAGGAGATATCCTCGAACGAAAGTGGCCATTTTGAAAGGCAGCTATTTCTTGGTTGCTAGTGGCTTGGATCTTCAGACTCTAACTGTTTGCGAAATCAATGGGTTTTCAGAACTGAACTCTCAACAAGTTGTCAACTTTTTGCCGAGGGGTCAACAGCAGCCAAGATGTGGTCGGATCGTTAGCCTGCAACTTGTTGGGGAGATGTGTGCTTTCCGACCAACAGAATACGGGAAGCAAGCAGCTTAGCTCTTTGCCCTCGAGCAATACACAGCCACGGAACCGAACTGCAATTCTTGTTTGAACCAGTTCCCTTGCCCCTTTTATGTCAAAGACGGTTGAACATGGATGATCCCATCTTCTTTGTGAGTGCCCCTGTTTCCTTCAAGGGCAACTAGCCCGACCTGGCTTACACGCTGCATCGAGCAACGCCCCAAGCGGCCACGCCCCTCAGAGACCGGTCAAAGCCCAACTGGTTGCTCAGGGTCGGCTAAGGAAGGCGGAATAAGCCGAATGTACATCAATTTCCACGCTAAACTTTGGGTCTGAGGATTTTTGTATTACACCCTGAATGGTTCAAAATAACACGGTGTTATCCGGAAATGTGCCTAAATGGGGTCAATACCCAGTGGGTGTATTCCCAGGGTGTAATACAAAACCCTTGGATTGGGGGCCTGATTTTTCGACATGTGGGTCGCATGCTAGCTGAGGGCGCTAGCCCGCGGAGCCGGCGCACGATGCAGAGGAAAGCCAACGCCTTGTATCTGCAGCGCTTCATGGATCACTACGGCTACGAGTCCCTGCGCGGGCCCTGGCGTTGACGAAGATATCGGGCTGTAGGGAAAGGGTAGCCTTTGTCAAACAAAGACTGAGGACTGCCCAACAAATCCCCAGAAGCGGTTCCCCCAACAGGAGCTTGCTCTACAAATGGTAGTTGTTGTTTTGGTTCCATGTCAAGATCATTTTTGCTTTTAAGGATACTTTGTTGGAGGTTGCTCCAAAGAGGAATTCAAAGAGACAACACCTATACTGGCGTTATCAAACCTTGTCCCGAGGCATTCCGTCCGGCGCATTGTGTCAGAGACTGTTTGCCCAATCCATGTGGCCTCCTATCTGGGTGACGCGCGTTTGCTGCGCCTACTGCTCGCGTTGGGGGCAGACCCTAGCAGGCCGGTCTGGGCAATTTTGTTTGTGCCGGCCGCAGGCTGGCAGGTGGTTATGCCCAAGATTGAAATTCATCCCTCCCAGCCCCCACCCCCCACGCCAAGCCCGTGTCAGGAAGACAAACCTTGGGCGCCGTGCCGAAGATGTGGCCCGCGCTGCCAATAAAGAGGGCTCCCACGACGTCGTTTTGCACATGCTGAGCGAACAGGTCAAGGTGACGAGCATGCAGAAAGCGCTGGAGCTCATGAAGCACAACTGCCTACGAGAAGTGGTCAAGCTTTAGCGCAGTCGCATGGGATCTGTTTTAGGACCTGTTTTGGGTAGGTTTGAAGCCCGTCTCCCTTCTGTCTTTTGTGATTCACTGAGCAAGACCCCCCCCCCACCAATCCAAGCCACCAGCCTAAACTACCAACGCAGAAGGGCATTGCCTCGCACAAGCGCCGGCTTCGAGTGCCATGTGTTGGCTCAGGCAATCCCACCAGTGATCTATGGACAGTTTGGGGGAGCGTGTGCAACTCACTAGCTCCCACAAGAACCAAGGGGACTCCCTGACTATATCCGATTTTGCCATGTTCATCAAGGTCTGCAAATTCGTTCGGTGGCCGGCTGGCTCGAGAAAACTCGGGGAAACCCTGTGGACAACCGGCACTTACAAATGACGGTTGTCGCAGATGAGAGCAACTCCAAGAAACAAGGGGCCACAAATACAGTTTGGTTCGGCTCTGCCAAAACAGGCGTCGTCCATTTGATTTCCCCTTCAAACAACTCCAAAAGGACAACGTGTGCAGATGTGTGTGTGTGTGTCTCTGAATGTTTCTTTGTGTGTCTCTCCTTGCGTGTGTGTGTGTGTTGTCTTGTGTGTATAACTGTGTGCTTATTTATTAATTTGTGTCTTTATTTCTTTCTTGCTTTGTTTATTTTTATTTGCTTCTGTTTCTTGTTTGTTTCTGTCTTTCTTTATTTTGTTCTTTCGTTGTGTATGTTGTTATTTCTCTATTTATTAATTTCTTTCTTTCTTTCTTTCTTTCTTTCTGTCTTTATTTCTGTCTTTCTTTCTGTCTTTCGTTTTTTTTTACTTATTTGTTTCTTCTTTTGTTCTTTCTTTCTTTCTTTCTTTCTTTCTTTCTTTCTTTCTTTCTTTCTTTCTTTCTTTCTTTCTTTCTTTCTTTCTTTCTTTCTTTCTTTCTTTCTCTCTTTCTCTCTTTCTCTCTTTCTCTCTCTCTCTCTCTTTCTTTCTTTCTTTCTTCCTTCCTTCCTTCCTTTCTTTCCTCGTTGCTCTCTCTCTCTCTCGCTTTCTTTCTCTCGCTCTCTCTCTCTCTCTCTCTCTCTTTCTCTCTCTCTCCCTCTTTCTCGCTTTCACGATCTCAGCCTTAAAATTTGAATGTCAGACGGCCAGAGATAGTTCAGTAGCACACTCCACACGCCAACATGTTGTCCACAGGGCTGAGTCCAGGCTTGTGGCATGCTGTGTCACAGTCCGTGCCTCCGCAACTGCGCTTTGCAGCTGCTGCCCTTGAATGAAGGAATGGAGCACCTTGCCACAACCCAAAAGCCACCAGTGTGCCCAATGTGCACGCTGGGCAACTCCTGCGTCTTTGTGCGGCACCCCCAGCGAGATTTTGCCTGGCTGGGTGGTTTGCATTGCAAGAGTTCCATGGGTGCCATAAGGCGTTCACCGCTGAATAGCAATTCTCAGTTTCGGGTGTAGGCAAGGGTTGACCATTTTCATTGCATGAACGGTTTGCCTGGACCTATGCTCCAGGCTGTAAGCAAGGGCTTGATCATTTGCTGGCATGCAGAGTGCGTGATTGAATTGTTGATAAGACCAACTCGACATGTCACCGCCCTTCGGGTGGTCAAAGCACCTGTGTGACCGTGGCAAATGCTTGGCAAGTGGCTTGCTTGCTCAAATCAATTGGATATGGCAGGCGCGACAGCACAAAATGAAAGCTGCCGCTTTGAAACGCTTGGCCGTTGAACAGATCTGCCTTTTTCAGGCAAGGGGGTAAAATGAGCTCACCATGGCAGTCGTTTTGGGGATTCCTCATTTCTGGCTTTGACACATTGTACATGGGGAGAAGTCTCATTTCAGCCGCAGGGCTTGCTTGCTTCAAGGTTTCACACCGATTGCGCAAAGTGGTGCCTTTGGCACTCAGACCGGTTGCCGGAACAGGATGCTTTGCTCATTTCGTGGCTTTGCGTCCATGTTCAGGCTTTGTATAAAGCCATCTGAAATACCAATGCCTTTCCAAGCTTCCTTGATTGTTACATTTTTCGAAGCTGGTTTGCAACTTGACTTAGCTGTGCCAAAGCATGCCGGATTGCCATGCAAGCGACAAGGAGAAGTAAATGTCAAGCAATGCTACTGGCTGACATGACCTCCGAGTTGCGACAGTATCTCTTCCATAGTTTTGGCAGTTGGCCAAATCATGCACAACATGTGAATTTGGTGTGTTTTTGTTTGGGAACCGTCATTGGGCTGGGCTCAGGGAAACGTTTTCCACATCCCTTTGATAACCAAGGTGGGGAAGCCGACCCTTGAGTTTCCCTTGTTTCCCTAAGTCCCAAATTGGGAACCAACTGAAACAGAGACGCAGGAGCTCCTGAACGGCATCCGCGCTGCAAGCCTTCGCCGCGAGGATGCGGGTCCCTGAGCTGGCCAGACGGAGCGCGGGTTCTTCGGGGGGGTCGAGAAACGGAAGCTCAGTTTGGGGCTTGGGGTTCTCGAGCCAAGTGCGCTTGTTGGTCGCACACGGATTTCCACCCCCCCCCCCCGGAGTCTTGGGAGCATGTGGAAATGTTTGGTAAGCCCACGGCCGAGGTGTTTCTTGTGACAAAGCTGGCTCCATCGGAGCGGCTTGGCCTGGAACCTTTCAGCTGCTAAGTGAGTTCCATGGACCTCAACGGAAACGGTTTTTGGAGGGGCCTCCAAAAGAGGTGCTCGGTTTTTGCGGGTTTCATGTGCATCCTTGGGTGAATCGCACAATGTTTGGTGAGGCATGGAGAGGAGGAGGTGGAGGAAGCTTTGCAAGCTTCGCTGCAACGACTTGGCACCAGCTACGTGGATCCTTGAATAATGATATTCGCCTAGGGGACCCGGACAAACCCGGGGCTACAAACGGGTTCAAGAATCGCTACAGACAGTTTGTGTTGCCTCCGAAAAGACCAATTCACTTGTTAGATCCACACATTTGGGTCACGCGAAGGGACATGCACAAGCAAGGCTGACTTGATGCCCATGCCTTTCATCTTTGGGAGAAAGCAACACTGGAGTGGACTCCATTCATATCGACGGCGGGCCTGTAAGATCGCCTACTGGGCAGGTTTCAGCCTCCTCAGGTAGGACAGTCGCCAAAGAAGTTGTGGCCTTCACGATGTTCTGGCGGTTGCGCATCAGGTCAGCCTTTGCAACGTAGCTAACAAAACTGTGCCCGATGGGTGAACCCGGATAAACGCAAAAAAACAGAGAGTACCTGACTCTTTGCAGCTCGGATATCTGATGTCTGGACTCGTTGCATAGGGAAGAACAAAAAAAAGCGCCATACGCAAGTGGCCACGGAACGCCGCACGCTGAGGACCTCTACCTTGTGCAAAGCCCAAAGGGCGGCAGCGTCATTTGGACCTGGGATGCCATGCTCTCCTTGCGCGACAGGCCCGAAAGTGACTTGAAAGGTCCCGACTCCCAAGAAAGCTGGAGAGAAATTCTCATGGTTTGCTTTGGCGTCTTTCCCACAGCCTAGTGATATTCGAGTAAAATTGCAGAGTAAGGATGCGAAGACTCTTGTGGACTTCTAGCGCCTGCTTTCAGACCTGCTTGTGGCTCAATCTGATAAAAGACTATGGCCCAGAAGATCTCGACTCCTCAATCGCGGTGCGAGCCAGGGGCCTTGCACGAGCAGTTGGCCTGTGCAACTTCAGCGCCAAGCACCTGGCGAGCCTGGAATCCCTCTCGCGAGAGATGCCCGAGGCGCGCATGGCCAAAGATTTGTGAAACCGAGGGTGTTCGTTTTTTTAGAGGAAAAAAAAAACAACAACAAACAAATCGCATGGCATGCTTGGTGAGTTTCATTTTGGTGGGGGGGATGGGGGGAGAATGTCGAAAGCAGAAATAAGGGGAACCGGGAACTCCCTTCTGCATGCAGTCCAACAATTGCCTCGCCTGCCGTGGAGCGCGCTCGTGCGCGCATATGTCAAGATAGTTTGGCGTTCAAAGCTCGGTTTTAGGCCTCTTTTAGTTCCTTGCGTCTAGGGCTGCAAGTTCGCAAGGCTAGCTAGGCCGCACAGCCAGCGCTTTGTAGCAGATTTCAGCTGTGCGCCCGGCTGCCACTGCCAAAGTCAGCACAAGGGAGCACAGTGCAGAAGGTGGAGAGTAGTAAC